TGCCCCGCCCCTTGCAAAAAAAAAAGCGACCAGTACTTTTTGCTTCCTTGCCACTTCCTCGATGAAGCAAAGCAGAAGGTTTGATTCTTGCTGTCTTAAGCATAGGCAACAATGTCCACTATCTTTACTATGGTAACGAAGTGGGAGCAGGATTTTCCTTAATTGTCCTGCTAAAGTAAGAGATGTACTGTCTCTTATTAAAATACACTCTGCAACACTGGACTGCAAGGAGCAATGGTCGGTTGACCACAGGTCGCATACTCGTACGGCATCTGTGATCAATTACTCACTGTAGCAGTAAACAAGACGCTTGCCCTTCTGAGAGGTCTGGGCCCCTCAGGCTGAAAGGGGCTGAAGGGGGCTGATACCCCCCTCCTGGAGAAAATTTCTCCACAGAGAGAGAGGGAGGGAGAGAGGAGAGAGAGGGAGGGAGAGGGAGGGAGAGAGGGAGGGAGCAAGGGAGAGAGGGAGGGAGCGAGGGAGTGGAGAGGGAGGGAGAGAGGGAGGGAGAGAGGGAGGGAGAGGGAGGGAGGGAGAGGGAGGGTGGGAGGAGGGAGAGAGATGAAGGGAGGGAGAGATGGAGGAAGGAGAGAGAGAGGGAGAGAGAGGAGGTGAGAGGGAGGGAGAGAGAGAGACAGACAGAGAGAGAGGGAGGGAGACAGAGAGAGAGAGAGAGGAGGGAAGACAGACAGAGAAGAGAGGGAGGGAGAGAGAGAGAGAGGGAGAGAGAGAGAGGGAGGGAGAGAGAGAGGGATGGAGAAGGGGGAAGGAGTTGGGTAGGTACTGTGCTCGAGGTAAATTACGTAACACGTTTAGCTTTGGTTGTATTAGGGAGATGGAAATTTATGCGTGATGCTGCCTGGACATGGCAGGGGGAAAAAAACGTTTTGTTAATAACGTGTGTGTGTAGTGTGTGTGGTGTGTGTGTGTGTGTGTGTGTGTGTTGTGTGTGTGTGTGTGTGTGTGTGTGTGTGTGTGTGTGTGTGTGTGAATCTGAAGAACCATACCTTTGCACTGGCATGGCTAACTCGGTGCCTTTTCTGGCCTTCATTCTTATTATTGAAGTCGTATTAGGATATAGTTCCCTTATATCACTAAGATATTTCAGGAATTGAACTCGTTGCATTCATTTATGTTCCTTCTGTTTCTTAGTGACTAATACTGTCTGCCCACATTCCATTTTTCTCAGCGTCATTAAGTTCCTGTAAGTTGTGATGTCTGGTACTCCTAGTGATGCGTGACTTGACTCCAGCCGCGACGTCTCTGTTGGCTCTATTAATGATGTATTATTTGCCTTAAGTAACTACTTTTCGTATCCCAGTTCTTCATGTAGCCTTGAAGCAAATCCATTAAATTTGTTGTCCTTTTTGTGTATTACAGCTGAAATTGACGAACGTAAGCCATCTAAAGTGAACTGAATTCCTCGGATTCCTTAACTGTTCGTATCTTTGTCAGCTGTGTGTGACTCAGGCGGAATATTAGATGTGATGTCCATCCCTAGGTCCTTTCATTCTTTTCAGTTGCCTTCCTCCGGGGTCGTTTTCTTCCTCTGTCTTCGTACCTTCTGTTCTCCACCCTCTCCTCCGACACCCCACCCCAACCACCCGCCCACCATCTCGCCGGGAAGTTTTTGCAATTAGTGTTTTTATTCTGTGACTCAGTTATGTAAACAAAGAATATATTTAAGCCGACAAGCTTGTTGCTTGAGGAAATAAGGGAAAGTGAAGATGAGAGAGAGGGAGGAGGAATATGCGGGATGAAGTTGAGAGAGTGAGTATTTGGGGGGGAAGCGAGAGGCTTAGCGAAGTTGAGTCGATGTTTTGAAAATGATGAGAGATAGAACATGGAACGAAAAAGCACCTAAGAATACGTTGGTGAAGAGGAAAATAAATGGGAGAGGGAAAAAATGTGAAAAAAATGAATGACTAGGATGATGGAAAGAAACAGAGGAAAAGGTGGGAAGAAGATGGATATTAGTAGGAAAAAAGTTGTGAAGAGGAATTAAAGCCAGCAAAACATACTAACAGAAACAATCTCATTTCTATCGTTTGTAAAGGACCTGTCAAAGGTGGGATTAAATCTCGTGTATCATTTTCTTGCCGATGACATGAAACTGATAACATAAAGACTACAAATACTTGGAATGGCTGCATTGAAGATCAAACAAGTGGCTATTGGAGTGAAACCCAAATAAATAGAAGGTAATGTAAATTGGTAAGGAACAGAGAAGCCCAGAGACGGAGTGCAGCATAAAAGGTAAGAAATTACAATGAGCGCGAAAGGAGAAAAATCTTGAAGTGAACAACATACCCCAACATATCACCAGCTGTTAACATAAACTCCTTACCACTGGCAACATAAGCAAGAGAAGAGAATTCCAGAACTGCCTTCAGGAACATCTTGAAGAATTATTGAAGACTGTATAAGACATGTCTAATTTATCACATTGTGCAACACCAACAAGGAACCCATTCCCGTTAAAGAATGTTCGGAAGCTGAAGAAAGGTTAGAGGTCTACAGCTAGATAAGTTCCAGAGCTGTGGGAGTGAACAATGAAGAGAAACAATAGGAACAGAATCTGACGATCATAGTAGAGTGGAAGATCATGGGAGTCATAATCACGATGTACAAGATACTGAGGATTTAGTAAGGGATTAAAATGAGTCACAGATAGATAGAAGCTAAAACCTCGTATGACCCGCAGGACTGTTAAACCACGGGAAGGGTGGGGTCTGAACTCATAGCGAGTGAGTTGTGTTATTACGAATTCGTGAGTCACACGGATGTTAATAATTGCCCATCAATCTTGTGAATAAAAAGAATGAGCTACGTTACGAAAGGGTAGAGGAAACCCTATACAGTTTCAAGAGTAGATATGATACTTATCTATTCACCATAAACCTATAATACCAGCGATTGTTCTTTAAGAAGCAGAGTCAGGAGTTATGACATTCAGGTAACGCAACTCGGTGAGTACGTACGTGCAAACAAAACACACACACAGACAAACACACACAAACGAGCGGGGTGCCACAGGGATCTGTCCTAGGAGCGGTGCTGATTCTGGTATTTGTGAACGACATGACAGAAGGAATAGAGTACAAAGTGCCCCTGTTTGCGGATGATGTGATATCGTAAAGGGTTCTTAAATGGAGATATCGTAGGTTGAAAGTAGACACACTTGTAGGATGGTAAATGTATTGTCAGACTGAGATGAGGGATGGAGCCCCAGCTGCCTTGCCTGTCTACGCCTGGAAGGTCTGCCGCCGAGTGAGGCCGGGACAGGGGCATGAGCCCACACATCTGTATCCCGTGACGTCACACAAAGCCACAGGCCTACGAGGGATCTCGTGTCTAAAGCACAGGGATGATACTAATATGCTATGCTATATAATACTGGAATACAGGGATCAGCAACTAGCTGAAGCTCGTCATGTTTACGTATGTCGGCTCCCCGACATCACAAACTATAACTATAGGCTTGAACAGGCAGCGATCTGGCTGATTCTATACAATACAAATTCATATATAACTTTGAGCTAATGGATGTACAACATGAATTTGACGCTAATGGTGTTAACGGAATCCTCACTAACTATAAGAACAACATTATAGCAATATGGATGAATTGATCGATCGATCTGTTATTCATGCACTCTACGATTCTGAGAAGAAAATTATAATACACAAAGTGTTTAACAGAAAGGCAGATTCGGTGCACATCAAATCTAGACTGTTAATTCTCAGAATAAACGGAGGGAACGGAACATACGAAATTCTGACAAACTGATCACTCTACAACATAAACACACAGTTGACACTTTCATTCATCTCGGACATCTAATTACACAGACTATGTCATGTAAACCCAATTCTGCGAAGGGTAAGGTTGACAATGCAGAATGGTTTCATCTCTGGAGGATCGAATCCTCTGCAATGGGATAACACATGCCTTGACTGAGGAGAGATCTGAAGAGTATCTCAAAAGATACAGGTACATCTCACGAGTGACTGTGGAATTACTAACTCGTCTGCTAGAGTACTCAACTCGACTATTCGATACAGTAATGCTTGCTTCATTACAAAGTCACTAATGGATACTGTGGACTTCAGTATGAATAAGATCTTCCTGGAGCATGGATCGACTCACACCAGAACACATGGATCGTCTTGGCAGTTATGACATCCTCGACAGTAAATGGAGGAATCTGCAGTAACTCACACTAACGTGTCGCGAAAAACATCTGCGACTACATTTGACTTGCCAGGTAAATTTTCAAAAGGGATTGAACTCTGGAGTCAAGGTCCATCTGGATAACCATCCAGTATGCTGTTTGTTTCGGAATAAAAGGTATCATTTTCTTCTTACGGGAGGAAAGAGAACAAACTCGGGTGGAGTGGACGACCTCCCACCCGTTTTGAAAAATAAACGCTATAAAACGCAATATGAGCAAGGGAGAACGAATCTATCTCAAAACTGCAACACAAGGAGAA